TTGTTGCCGGGACTGCTGGGGAACATAGAAAGGCATGTTTTTGAATGCTTCCCTGGTAGTGGGTACATAAAACATGTCGTCATTCAAATGGAGCAATTACCATGCATTCAATTTTTAGTTTACTAAAAAATCGATGCAAACTTAAAAACAACAAGAACGTTGCGCTTGTAGCATCGCCCGTTAACGCCGGTTTATTTTGGTAAATGGCTCATTTAGTACAAATTAAGATGCACGCTCACTGAAGGGGACGGTATCGAAGAGAAGAGAAGCGAAAGTCTTCCGCTGGTTCCGTTGCACGTGATCAAATTGCATCCCGCGCACTGAAGGAACGCGACGAAGGAAATATGTCACGTTTGATACGTGCAGCAACAAGTGTTTCCAAATACCACTGACGTCGTAATGTGTACGAGAGAAGCGCGCAATACGTGTGATAGAAAGATAGAAGCACATCGTTGCCTAGCAGCCCGAGTGACAAGGCCCTGGACGCCATCGGCGCATTTTTTCTAACATGCATACTGGACGCTTCTCTCACGTATGTTACATATACCGTCAGACAAATTTGAACCTCACGTAACGAATTCCTACCAGATAGAAGGAGTCGGGCATTTGTTTGTCTCCTAATTCTCATAGTCTGTAGTGAGGATCAAATTCCATACTACAAGTGCACTAGAAACAATTTAACTTTTTGACATCTGTCATTAAATCATATTTTAGTGTTATTTTTTTGAAAGTGAGAGTGTTTGCCGATAATTGTTGTGTTAGACATGGTACTTCTTGTATACGCTACGCATCTAGCATCCATATAACTTTATAACGCTTTAAGCGTCCGTGTCAAAGTCACTCCATTGGCCCGCGCTGCTCCGTTTGAAGCCTGTGTGGATGGTTTTGTTTTAAAATGACAGGGAACGTCGGCATTTACAGCGTACTCAACGCTAGGCTAATGCGGGAATGATTGTCGTTCGTATAATTTGCAATACAGGAATTCCATTTGCATGATAGGCCGACGATAACGCAACAGTTTCAGCGTTCTTATATACGTGACAAGTGAACTACCAGCAAAGCCCACTCATTGTTACACCACATTTCCATAAGACACCCTTTTGTCTATATCCCATTCGTAGTTCATTTACGCCCAGACAAAACACAACATGCCCAAAAGCAAGATTGTGCAGAGTCGTATTTTCCTCAATGGTCTTGGAATAAAATCTAACAAAATAAATGAAAGCGGTTGTTGAATTTCTGTCTTTCTTGAGGACATTCTGGAAATTTATTCTATTTTTCTAGTGAGGTATGCAGCATTATCAAGTACAATGACGGCATTGTCTTCAAGCTTTGGGAGCGTTTCTTTAAATCATCGTTCAGATGAACTCTCGTCCATTACTACAAGGGAATCCGTCGTTTTCTTTGACTCAAATGCCCATAGGGGCACTAGTGCACAAAGCCATCTTCACTGAAAATGTGACAGATAACAAATCGTTTTCCTTTTCCTGTGAATAATTATTTCTTATAATATCCAAGAAAACTAATAATAATACGAGCCCCTTCCCACTTCAGTTGGCCCACTTCAAGATTTGTACCAAAATATGCCTTTATAAACTAAACATGACGAAACTATTTACTTCTAAAACAATTTATTTTCTCAACAACATTTTAGATACACTCTAGTCGTAAAAAATACATATTTGAAATCACTTAGACCTATAACTAATAGAACATCTGAACAAATAAACAATGTGCGAATAAATGCGCGAAGTTAACAAAGCAACAATTGAAAGATTACCATTGGGTAACATCACCTTTATTTTTATTACGGCTGAAATTCTTGGGGGCATAGTGTTAACCAAGTTTTGGCAAAAATTTGGTGTAAAACAATCCCATATTTCTTGAAGCTTTTGTCTCAGTTCGGTGATGTTGTCGTAGAACCTTTTTCATCTCGTGCCACAAAGTTTCAATGTGACAGATCTGGACTGCTAGAAACCCATTTCAAAAGTGGTACATTATTTTCTTCCATCCATTTTATGGCCTTTTATGAGGTATGGCACGCTGCACCATCTTGCTGAAACACAAAATCTTGGCCGGATGTCAAACATTCTTCCATCACTGGTAAAAGCGATTCTTCTAAAATTGCCAAATATTTGTTTGTATCCACATTTCCACCAATAAAATGAAGATTTCCTACTCCTTTTGATGACATACTGCCCCAAACCATAATGGAAGCTGGAAATTTCACTTTTCTCTTCAGACAGTCAACATGGAATGCTTCATTTTTTTTGCGAATAACTCTACTGCGACTGTCACCAACACAAACTTCGAATCGGGCCTCATCACTCCATTGTATTGCACACCATTATTGAGGTGTCCATTGTCTATGTTCTTTAGCCCATCTAAGCCGATTTTTCTTTTGCAGTGGAGTTAATAGTGGCTTTTCTTTGGCCTATAAACAAGTTGTGCAACTTTAGGGTTTTTACTTCACTTTTTTTTATAAGAAAACTTACCTTGCAAGTGCTAAATCCCAGTTTGTGGGCCTCTCTATAAGTTGTGGACCTCGAAATTCTCCTTCCAACAGCGTCACTCCACAGAGCACTTAATTGTAAATAATTGGCACGCCTGTTTTTCACGATTATTCTTCTTAATGCTCTTCGGTCGGCATATGTGATATTACTTTTTTCACATATCGTGGCTTAATATTAACCGACTCAGTTACGTTATATCTTCTAACAATATTTCTCACACTGTACCGCGATAAGTCTAACAAAGTTGCAATTTCTGAGCTTGATTTCCCAGAATTAAACAATTTAATTATCAGTAACCGAATTTTTTCACTAATAACCTTTCCTCTACCCATTTTGAAAACTTTAACTACCCAAAACTATTTTAAACGTATTCTGACAGCTGTGATTAATAAAAACAATTGTCATGGCTTTTATTTTTCACAGCCACCTATGCGTTATAGACTTATTTTGCATTGAAATGAAAATAGGTTGATATGCTGTAATTGCAACATGTGTTATTTTTATGCTGCAAATTTGATTAGGGAGTGATAAAGTTGGTGTTTTCTACTATATATTATCAAAATATTCATTGTTAATATTTTAAACCTATAACACCCTGCTACATTTTTATTATTTGTATTTGATAAGAAAAACACTAAGATTTTAATAGTTGGGCCAACTGAAGTGGGAAGGGGCTCGTACAAGATACTCTTATCTAATAGGTGTTGGTTCCAAATACACCAGATATAGCAACTTTAGTGTAGATAAGTCTTTAGCGTGGGCTCATAGATTCAGTCTACTTGACTCCATTTTTACAACACAAATGACAAATCGGTTAGATATATGTAGGTAACCTGACGGATTCTTGAGGCCAGTGGTTAGTCCATCCAAGAAGGCTTATTGTCTTGCGTCTTGCTGATGTAATTATAGTCAGCCCATACTTTAGGTTTTGTATACTAAGTGACATATAAATCCGAACACCCAGTTTAAATCGTTTTATTTTAATAAAATTTTGTATAAGTACTTAATGAAGCATAATAAGTAAATGATAAAAATGTCAAAATGATTGCACTGCTTTAAAGCCCTTTGACCTTTAATAATGTGTGGATGCACCCTGATGAGCTACGCATTCTCCAACACGCCTAGGCATGCTTCTGATCAGGTGGTCAATGTCCTCCTGTGGTATCTCATTCCAGGCAACCACCAACTCCTCTCGAAGTGCTTGTAGAGTCTGAGGAGGACGTTGCAAATTGAGCAATCTCCTACCCATGATATCCCACACGTGCTCAATTGGGGATAAGTCGGGAGATCTTGGTGGCCATGGTAACAATGTGTCATCATTATGTTGAAAGAAGTCTAGTGTGACTCTTGCAACATGTGGTCGAGCATTATCTTGTTGGAAAGTTGGATCTGCCAGGGTAAAAGATGGGGTTCTAGAACTTCGTGGATATAACGCTGCGCGTTCATGTTACCTCTGATGAAGATTAAAGGTGACCTGGAACCATAAGCTATAGCACCCCAAACCATAACTCCAACAGTGTGATGAACATGTCTTTCAACAAAAAACTGTGGATTCCTCCTTTCACCACGTCGCCTTCTAACCCTGGCACGACCATCGTGCATGCCTAAACAAAATCGAGACTCGTCACTAAAGACAATACTGTTCCATTCCTGATCCTAGAGTGACCGTTGTCTGCACCACTCAAGGCGATTACGTCGCTGTTCTCGAGTTAAAGGGAGGACCCAGTGTGGCCGGTATGAAAACAAGCCAAAACTTCTCATTCGTCGGTAAACACTTCGCATGCCAATAGGTCTTCCGTGTTCTGCAAACCATTCATTTGCAATGGACCTGGTAGTGGAGAAACGGTCCCTTAAGGCCAATAATCTTAGGCGGCGATCTTCACGGTCTGTTGTTCTACGGCGGCGTCCAGTGTCCCTTGCTCTTTGCGTACGGCCTTCTCGAAGTCATGCCTGACAACACCTAACCACAGTGTCTACCCTTCTTTGCACTCTAACTGCAATTGCCCGAAAAGAAAGTCCAGCTTCCCAAAGTCGCACTATACGGCCCCTATCAAACTCACTAAGTTGACGAAATCGTACAGGTCTCCGTACTCTAGGCATCGTAACCGATCGTAAAGGATGTCAAGAACCAAAATCGGCCAACGTTGATTCTTTACTGCGGCTGAAATATTCATTTTTAGAGCGTTAGTGAATTAAAAAAAAGCAGTATAAAAACCGGAATGTCCAACTTATAAGGCTGAAAAATTTTTCACTTGTTATTTACAGTAAGATAAATACATTCACCAACTTTTATTAAAATAAAACCATTTAAACTGGGTGTTCGGATTTATATGTCACTTAGTATAGTTGTTAAAACCACGTTGGTGATGTAGTGGAACATAAAATAGTAGTGTTGGTCCCATAAAGCTCCGAGTGTTACAACAAGGCGTAAACGTGACGCTGAAACAATTGGCGGATTATATCAGGAATGAAATGAAACAAATAATTTGCAAATGTTGCTTTATCGCTGTACAAAAAAAATCATATACAGAATAAAAATGGCTTTCAGAAGAAAATTTACAGAACTGTCGGAGTATATTATGGGTTCCTAAGTGAAAACCCTAATCTGTGTGTTGTTATCACAGAATACTTGTAGGACACTGTCAGAATTAAAATCAATAGCTATAAAACCATCGAAATGTCTTATAAAAATTCGTATCAAAATCAAATCAACCCTCAAAAAATTACACTCCGACACATATCTTCTTAGAACACAACAAGCTCAAAGATATATTTATACATATTGCTCTACTGCCAAGTTTGAGCAAAACAATTACACCAAATTACAACTATCACTTTGAAGATTTTATCTATAGAATTTGATATTACAACATATCACGTCTCAATCATATTTCAGAATGATTCTAGTATTTTATTGAAATCTGCATATAGCAATTTTAGTGATAGTAGATTTGGTCATCTGAGCCTGGATCCATGGTATCAAACAGTTGCTTAAGTTATACAGGGTGATTCAATCGTCGTGACCAAAAATGAAACATCATACACAGGACCGCATTTTAAGGTTGGTCTTCTATGTAACATTTTTTCCTCGAGGGCTTCATTAAAAAGACACGGGGGTGTTGAATTTTAAAAATAAAAAACATTTTTTTAATATCTTCAAAACCGTCAACTGGAACTAAAATTTGGTTTGTATTGTCCACATTGAAAAGACTTTACTTAAAATTAACGTGCGCTAGTGCTAGCTAATCGCCTGTATCTCCGCCACTGGGCACGTTAATTTTAAGTAAAGACTTTTGAATGTGGACAATACTTAGGTAAATCCACATACCAAACTTCGGCTCATTCAAGTTGACCGTTTTGACGATATTAAAAAAATTGTTTTTCATTTTAAAACTTTTTAATGAAGCCCTCGAGGAAAACATGTTACATAGAAAACCTCACTTAAAATGCGGTCCTGTGTATGATGTTTCATTTTTCGTCACGACTTGTGTAAAAAATGCAGAGGTCTCACCCCACATTCGAAAAAGAAACATTCTTAGTCAACTTAATTGGCTATGATACTGTTTCAAGTGACAAAAAAGTCTATAGGAAATTAAGGCTCCGTTGCATTATAAAGTTGCAACTATATATTTTTTCAAATTGAATGTAAAAAAATTAACAGAACTGATATATATTTCAATTGGACATAAAATGGGCCATATTTTATTTACCAAACGGCGCATTTTCGCGATGTTTTGTTCATGACTATACAAAATGGATTTGCTATACACGTTGTACTTTAAAAACTAAAACCGTTGGTCTCATTTTTATGTATAGCATCATTACAGTAAGAGCAATATTTATAGAGTTTTCAATGAGCAACTTTGTACAGACATAATCTCAGAGTGTAACACGGTTCCGTGTTTTTTAGTCTTTTAAAAATCATTCTACAAAGTCAAAAGTACTGCCATTTTCCTAGCACTGCATCTTTGATTGCATCCACATACTGTGCTGGTACCCAGTAGATCCAGTAGCGAGAAGCTTCTGTAGGACCTAATTGCAGCCCCTAAAATAAAATTGCTAGATATTGAGAAATACCTGAAATGTAATATCTGGAGAAACATTGTCAAATTTGAGCAGGTTTACCTACAATTATGTGATATTCATCATGGTCTTCTATAGGCTCAGAAATAACATTTTTGATTGATCCCATGGGCAGTTTTTCAGTACGTTCTTTTGTACTCAACCACAACTGATCCACTTCGAGTTTGAAGGTCAACCGGACCTTACCCCCATGTTTATTTAACATGCCTGATAGAGGAACTGGGGGTAGTGCTTCCTAAAATAGTATTATAGGTCATATTATACACACAAAAATAATATTTCTGTAATACATTTTCTATAAATCTTGAATTTTTAAAAACTTGTCCACACTTGTTGTTGCTTGTTGCAAGACACTGGCATACATACACTAAGAAACAAATTTACAAGTGAGAAGTGTATATAAGACACATATGTAGATGGAAACTGGGTGGATAGCGAAGCGCATCACCGCGTTGCCAATATGTTACACCAATTTGTTGAATTACGATGCATATTGAAAATATGCGTTAGTTTATTCAATGTGGTGATGACCTTCGCTCTTCAGCAGGCTTCCATCTCTTTCTAAAATGTGTTGATATAAGCTTCTCGCACTTTGTACACATTGAACTCAAACCATCAGACAAATTTGGTTTTCTCCGTAAATTAAGAAGCATACCTTAAGATTTTTTATTCCAGGCATGACATCTTCAGGTAGCCCTTTGTCTAATACTTTACGATGAATCTTTTGTTTACAAAGAGGCTCTTTTGAAGTTGTAGCTTTCTCTGACTCCACTACATCCTGTAAAATCAAATAATATAAAATACAAGCTTATCCTGACATTAATATATTATTTTCAGCAAATTGATAGGCAACACACAAGTGACCAAAAGTACTATCATTACAAGTCATGCTCTCCCCAGTACAGAGTATGGGATTTTATCAATTTATCAAAGCTTGTACATTTTTTGTTTGGCTATGCGCCCAGTAAGTACCTTTTTTACAATATATGCTTTTTAGGAATTTACTTTCTCACCTGTTTACTAACAGAAGATACAGCTAATACATCAGTTAAAGTTGAGCCTACTAACATAATTTTACAGCCTTTGGTGATGCCAGAAGTTGAAATAGTCTGATCATCTTGGAGTAGTCCTTTGAACATTAGTTTCTGCATCGAATCTGGCACTCCTACAAAAAAGCAAGTTCTGTGATCAAGGCACTATATTTCTGTAATATGTGAATCTGTCTAACATTTTTCAAGTATCCAGAAGAATCTTTTGTGTCAGCATATAATGGTAAATAAGTCAGTCAGTTTCTCTCTCCTAATATAAGCTAATCAAAACATAATATTCATAACTGCTAGCTTTAAAGTAGAACTTCATATGGCTTATCATTTTTTCAAGGAAATGGAAAAAAACATCAAGCATGTTAACTCTGCACTTCTCATGCAATGCTGTCATCAGTTCATAAAGGATAATGTTTGGAACAACAGAGACCCGCTGAGAAGAAATTTTGCTGCAAACACTGTTGCAAATAATTAAATGCATCAAGCCAGTCAAACAGGGCCATTAATAAATCAAAATCTGGAAACACTGTTATGGCAAACCTCGGCCCTCGACGATACTTCGGCACTTGCCGCATCACTTGACAACCTCGGTAACGCACAAGTCCCGACACAACACTAGTTTATAATCCATTTCTTTCGTGCCCTATAGTCAGTATCGACCATCTGAATCCCTATAGTCAGCCATGCCATACGCCAGCGTCAGGATGGGCCACGAGCGGTCACGTGCAGAAAGGATTTTATGCACACAGTGCACATAGGTATATGTTCGTAGTGATGCCGTGAGACCGATACGCGACACGTCAAATGTATGGAGAAATATGTATATGATGTGTGAAACGTACAAATAGGTGCGTAGAATTACTGGGGTTGGAAGTGTATGAATATACTATCGGCAGAAAAATTGAGATTATCCTCCCCCACAACCTCCCCAATTTTTAATCCGTACAAATTTTTTTCTGAAAATGATCAGAGCGGTGGCCGCAGTGGTAGACGCTGCGGTCTCCTAATGAGTCGGCATGCGCTGTGCGGAGGTACCCCGCGGCAGGTCTCGTAGGCGGGGCCATAATGTGTGCACACGAGTTCCCTCGCTAGACTCCGTGTGGTGTTCCCCCCCATTTTCCGCTGTATTCTCTATAGACCCATGGGTGTTTAGGCTTTAGGCCTTCCTGGTAGTTGGAGTATAAAAAAAAATAAAAAAGGGAGCCTCTAAAACATCAAAAAACGAAGTAAGAACGATTCATTAGTTTTGTTTTTTGACTGTAGCATCATCACCACTGGATTGATTTTCAAACACTTCAAGGTTTTTTATCCTCAGAATAGGAGTAACCTTTTGTCAAAATTTCATCAACACCCAAGGGGTACATTCCATATAAAGTGTATAGATACAGACTGACCGAAATCAGTGACATGGTTTATCATGCTGTATATGTCAAAAACATATCTCATTTCCAAAGTTTTTTGCGATGACAGTAATTCCTCGCCAGTAGCGCAGGAAGTGAAAGTAATTTCAATGTTGAACAGATTGATTGAGATTAAAAATGTTATAAAGTATGTGCCTAGTTTCCCACAAAGACGTCACAATAATGATAAATAACTGCAGTTTTCACCTTAACCCTATGGAGCTTTGAGAAAACATCTCAAAAGTCCTATTTGTATGGCTCTGTTGATGCTAGAGTAACATAATTCTACAAAATATATGCAAACAAATGATGAGCTCTTTTTCTGTGGTAATCTTAAAAATGCAGGGAGAAGGCATGTAGTGCTACATCCATTACAAGAGACATAAATGCATTGTCTCATGGGATTAAAGAGGAAACTCCAGTTCATTATGATGATGAACTTAAACTGTGACTTTTTCAAGTACAAGAAAAATATTGTCACAGAAATAACAATTGTACTTGAAAAAGACCATCATGGTGGTTAAAACACTGTAAATTAAACATGGATCATATATTGCACTCTTGCCAGGTAGTGAGTCAACAAACTGATTTTTTTTTCAATAACAATAAAATAACTACTCATAGCCACATTCAAAAATGTTGCTGATTCAAACTGTTTCATATATCATATCAGTAAGTAATAATATACTTAGATAAAAGTCGCATCACATGAAAACTAATTCTAGAATGCAGTCATTAGAATAGAATCATTCTTTTCATGAATGTTTCTCCCACAGCACAGAACTTGTGTTCATTATTCAAACTTGTTTTTTATTACAGTATAATGGACACGCCAAATCAATGATATATAATATTTAATAATAAAAGCTCACCTACTATACCCTGTAACTGTTTTTTGAACTCTGAAATTTTAGTTTCTGTTGTAGTAGTAACATCATACTTTTTCTTATTATAAATTACTTTGACTTCAATTGACTCTCCTTTGTTCTCTTCAGTGAGTTCTATTGGGGAAGCCTCTCCCTTTTCTGTACCTTTAGAGGCCTCTTCAATTTCAGTTTTGGCTATTTTACACTCGGAAGGTTCGGTTAACTTATCACTCTCTTCTTTGGTACTATTTTTCTCCTCAACATTATTCAGAATCTTGTTTTCTGGATTGTTTTCAGAATCTATTGTGAAATGAAAATAAAACGTATTTATTACTTGTACATGCAGTTGTTTCGGTGGAAAAATTAACCAGTGAGTCAAGAAGTAAAAACATATTTGATAGTGACAAGGACTGAATAAAAACTTACCAACACATTCCATTTTTCAATAATTTAACTATTCTCCTACTGTTCCGGGAAACGTAGATAGCTCTTTGTGTCTGTTATATTTTGGGAAGAAGCTGTACGTTGATGATTTGACTTTTTCACCTACAAAATTCTAAATTCATGATTTTCATTTTCATTATTCCACGGAACCAAAACATAACGATGACACTGTGACAAGGAACGACAAGTACCTCGCACGAAACACACAATTCGAGAATCAATATTCAAGGTCAATTAGACAATGATCACGCCACCTGTCATACGTCACAGAAATTTCCACTTGGGAAAGAGGAACAATTTCGTTATTGGAGAAAATTTAAATTCCCGAAATCTGATTCGACAGTTATACGTAGCACTTTCATCACACTGTTTTGTCATCTTAAATGCCAATTTTCTACTTTCTCTGCTTTCTCACCTTTCTCAATTTTTCTCGGTTGTTTCGTGTTGAGTCGACGTTGAAAGTTGAAATAGAAATTTTGGAAATCACATAATTGAAAACAAAAAATTCCCTATTAACATCATTTGCAGCGCAGTACGTCGACGTATCGCTCATTGTATATTTTTGGCATATATTGTGTGACTACAAATTTATAATGTGAAAACTACATCGACGACAAGAAAGTGGTTTTTGAAAGTGTGTAAGAAATAGTGCCGCGAAAATGAGGTTTTATAGGCAAAAATTACTAACAGAAGCACAGTTGAAAAGACTCGGAGAACATCAGTATTCTTGCCAAAGTGTTAGTATTCTAGACTCAATTCTGCAGCCCTACTGGAATTGGTTAGTCTCCAAAGTACCCATATGGCTTGCACCAAATCTCATCACTATTTTAGGGCTGATTATCAATATACTTACTGCCCTAATTTTAATATGGTGAGTTATAGTTGCTTGACTTTGTAGAATAGATAAACTCATACTCTGAGTTGGATCTACAGTTAGAGAATCTTTTGGGCAAAGCAAAACATGTCAGTATATTTATGGTGGTGGCTGGGCACTATGAGTTATATATATCATATTCCTTGTTTGGTCATGAGAGGTAACAGTATTATTATTTTCAAAACTGTTCTATACTCTCTAGAGCTGGGGGTTGTGAAGCAACAGCTCCAGTTACCCTTAAATAGCCAGTACTATTAAGATCAATAAAATTATGTACAATAAATTTCCAGGTATGCACCAGATGCAAAAACAGAAGCACCAAGATGGGCTAGTGCCTTTTGCGCCCTAGGTCTTTTTATATACCAGAGCTTAGATGCAATAGATGGCAAACAAGCTCGAAGAACAGGGACTGCAAATCCATTGGGTGAATTGTTTGACCATGGCTGTGACTCATTGTCTACAGTATTTGTTGCTTTATCTGCTTGCATAGCTATTCAAATAGGGTATTACCCAGGATGGATGTTTTTCCAGGTAAGGTACATTCTTTTATGCTCATATCTTCTAACCCTTCAGAAGAGAACACTAAGGTGAGAGATATCACAATTAAAATGGTATAAAGAACTAGTTTCACACACTGTCTAATATCAGTTAACTATACATTTTGAAAATGGTTTCACACACTACATTCAGATTTTGTATCCATTTGTCATATAATATTAAAAATATATGGCATAAACAAGAACCTGCATTTATAGGCTGATTAAGCTAAACTTCTTAATATGCTATTTTATAAGAATTTATGATTACAACAATACTTTAAAACTGCAGTTTTGTTTATTTATACCACCATCTTCCACAGTTTGTATGTAATCGCCAGTTTAAAATATTGTGTCAATTCTTTTTGAAAGTCATTTTTGGGACTGATGTGGTTTGATTTGGCCTCAAAAACATGTGGGATTATTAATATCTTATTTGACTTTGTCTAATTTCTTCTGTATTATAAACCAAACCAAATAAAGTAAAATTAAAATAATTATTTCAGTGTTTTTGTGCAATGACATTATTTTATTGTGCACATTGGCAAACCTATGTATCAGGTACATTAAGGTTTGGAAAGGTTGATGTCACAGAAGCTCAGTTTACTATCATGAGCATCTTAACAATATCAGCCATATTTGGTTCCACTATTTGGTCTACAAAGGTATGTACAAATTCTTGCTATTCATTGTCATAAACCAGTATAGATTTATTAAAGTTAATGTATTCATTATAATTTTGTAATTGAATTGCAAAATATTGTAAACATGATATTATAATTTATGCTATAAGGTTGTTGACATTTGATAAAAATTGTTGTTAATAAATAGCAGAATCAAATACAATACTCCTAGTTCCATGTATCACTAATCATAATCTTGTGCAGTTAAATTTTGTTTTGATATATTTTCTTTGCTTCTTGCAAAAATACAATAAATTTTAATATGTATCTTGAAATAAATATCATCTAATGTAGCAATATGCAAACAACATCATTTCTTATCAAATGATATTAGTGCCACTAGAAGGATTTAGTAATTTTGATAAAAATGTTATAAAACATATATCTGATGAACTGATATTCTCATCCAGAATTTCTGCTCAATATTTTCTTTGCCTAGCCTCTTGTCAGGTTAGCAACTTCACTCAATCATAAAATGTAAATTCATTTTTATGTTTTGAAAATACTTTATATTATTATACAATTCTGTTGACCTGTACTTGATTCTGCTATCAAGCATGATTCGATCTACATATCTGCACAATTTTTAATTTACAATATGCTTATAAATCAAATACATTCATCTTCAGACGCGAGTACATTAAATCTTGATTATTCCTGTGAAGCATTAATCTTTCAATATGCAGATGATACAAGTATTCTGGTAACTGTACAAAATGCTGAGGAGATAGTCCAAAAAGATTCATTTTTTATGATAAGATTTTGGAATGGGCTACAGAGAACAAATTAGTGTTAAATGCAGAAAAAACAAATTTCAGGATTTTTAAGTCCAAGCATAGTAATTGCATTCTACCTACTAAAGTAGCTTTGTTAGAGAAAATAGAACTTGAATTGCAATATATCACCATATTCTTGGAGTATACATGGATAAAGCACTCAAATGGTCAGAATATATAGAAAAAACGGAACATAAGTTAAGCACTGTTACACTCTGTGGATTGTAAATAGTCTAAAAATTATATAAGATGCTAATTTTGAATCTATCCTAAGATATGGAATAATTTTTTATTGTCAAAGCATAAATCGACTAAAAAAAGAACTCTGAGATGTATGCTTAAAATGTTACAAAGAGAATCATGCTGTGGGAAATTTAGTTCTAATATTTTAACTATAACTGCTATTTATTTATATGGGAAATTTAGTTCTAATATTTTAACTATAACTGCTATTTATTTATATGAAATTTTACTGTTCGCCTTTAAAAATCGACATTTGTTTGAATAGTATCTACCAGGGGGTAACTATGATACTAGAAATTTCAATTATATTTATATTCCATTCCCCGTCTCACATTAACAGAAAGGAATGTAGAATATAGTTGTTTAATCATACTCTCCCAGATATAATAAAGTAAGGAATTTGAATTTTTTTACGAGAAAGGTACACAAATTTTTGATAGATCTGAAAGCTTATTGTCCCAATGGCTATGTAGCACGATTCTAGGATTTTTCTCTCTATTGATTTTTTTGTGATGACATTATTTCACCTAACATTGTGGGTATATGAATGTATTTTGCAATGTTATTTGGAAATAGAATAAGCTAGGGAATGATTAAAGTAGCCATTGAACAATGTGTGGTTAATTGATTTAGGTTCGATTTTACTGTTGACCCGCGGGAATCAACATTTGTACGTATGGCACAAATTCCACCATTGAGAAGGTGCTTTTGAAGTAATGGATCTAACGAATATGTTCGATTTCTTGTAAAATGTCTCGCAAACTAGAAGAAAAATTATACGATTTGTGTAAGATGGGTGCCTAATTCTTATGTTTAATCAAGAAATACTCCATATATCACATGCTTTAGCTACAAAAACCTATTTTTTTATTTGTGCCAGGAAACAAAATTTATGGCCAATTAAAAAAACGGTTTGCGTTATAGTCGCCAATTCCACCAATTAAAAAAAGCTTTTATGCCCTGCTCGAAACATGGATCAAACCTAATACAATAGATTGATACGACCACCGTTACTGAGCAATTTATTGAAAATAATGGTGTCACTACTTACCTGAGAGAGATAATTTAAAAAAGGCTATATTTTTAACAATTCTTGGCTGAAGTTAGCTACAAAAACCTATTTTTTCTTTTTATAGGTCAGTCAAATTAGATCACTGATTTTTGTCATTGCTGTACAAAATTCGTGTTAATAAACTCATTGAAGACATAAGTAAAATCACGGAATGCTTGTTTTAATAAGCATCAAGTAAATATTAAATTTATTTGACCACCGTGCGGAAAACCCTTGTGTAATTTTATTCATGTCTTCAAAGAGTTTATTAAGCAAGGAGAAAAATCGTTAAACTAGTTTGACAGACCTGTTTCAAACCTGTAAAGAGAAAAAAATGGGTTTTTGTAGCTAACCTCAATGGACATGTTGCTGAACTGTATTAAGTCTGATCCAAATGTTGTGTCTAGGCACAATTGAAAAAAAGTTTTTGTAGCTAAATCATGTGATATATTGAAGTATCTCTTGATTTAATGTGAGAATTACATGCCCATCTTAGACAAATCTTATGATTTTTCTCTAGCTTGCGAGACATCGACCATATTCATCAGATCCATTGCTTCAAAAATGACTTATCCTGCATTATTAAAATCGGGCCTTATAGGAGCATTTTGATAGTGGGAAATATTTAGGGCAGAAAAAATAAGCGGTTCTCATTGCAGAAATTTTGTTCTCAATTCATAATATTTGTAGATTGTAGTGTCTTATCAAACTATGAGTATAGTGTGACAAGCTGAAATAAAATTTAGAAATACATTAATTCAAATGTCTAAAAACAATTTTTTTGACCATTTGTGTGGGATGAGTAGTAGACAGCATTGTTTATAATCATATATAGATAGCGTTTCTGTCATTCTCAAAAAAGGTATGCGAATTTCTAATTTTTTCTTCTGACCTTTTCTTCCAATTTTTGTATCACAATTAATGACATTTGCCAATGAAGTATTAAACTCAAATAACTTCATATTTTCTGAGTGCTTGGAAAATGGTTGAAGTTTTGAGAATATAGAACAAAAAATATTCTCAATGATTGAATGAAAAACTACAACAAGCAGTGAGAGATTGATATCACAGCCGAGAGCATATGAGTGTTTCATTTATTTTAATTACAGATGTGTTACGTTTGAGAGAAAAAAAGATGAGCATTTGAAATGCAATTATCTACTACGAACCATGGAAAATGTTTCCACAGAATTAATTTAAGGTGTATAAACACAAATCATTTGAAGCAACTTTCTAGTATATAAATTTGTAGGTTAAATCACCAACTAATGATGTTAGCTATTTATAGGTACATCTTATATCTTAATTATAGCAATTAAAATAATTAATGTATTGCCAGGTAGGTCATGCCTAATACCGGTGTCATGTTTTATTTTCACCTATCCATATGATAGCTAGCTAATGTTTACAAAAGAAACAGTAATCATTTAACGGGTCTAAAACAATATAGGTGGTCCACATTTTGCCAGACCTTTGACCCTGAATTTCATTGTCATTTAAAGTTATCATTGAATACGCATTCAAGTTTTGCTATTCTGATTCCATCAAAATTTATTTATAGATATGGGCCATAAAATTTAATGAGAAAAAGATTTAGTAAATTACAACTTTCTCCCAACTTCAAAGGAGATATACAGGGTAGCCCATCCATGTGTGGACGGAATGTTACTCATAAACCAAATACATTTTGGGAAAATCTATTTATGGGATGTTATACATGACATTTGAGGGCACATTTCTAACATATTGGCCATTATAGAGGGTGTCCCAATTTCGACCTACATATCAGTTATGATTTTTCAAAAGGAATGCCTTAAATTTTATTGCATATTTGGATAAACCAATTCAAAAGAAGAAAATTGATATATCATACTATCGGGTTTTGGTAATTAACTATTGAGATGTAAGGTGTTTTGTCCAGAAAAACCGTCCACAACAAACAACTAGCACAACTCAAGACCTAATCTACAAAAACTGCTCGAAAATATCTCCACCATGTTGAATACACAGCCGTAGTCTTTGGATAAATGACCGTTGCACATCCCTTAGCATGTGTTCCCTTATGTTCAGAAAAGCAACCTTAATCCTTTCCTTCATATTTTCCGGCGTAGATGGTGGATATCTATAAACTCCTTGTTTAACGTAACCCCATAGAAAGAGTCCATTGGTGTCATATCTGGTGATGTAGGAGGCCAAGATATACGCCCATCACGACCGATCCAACGATTGTTACTACAGGTGTCCAAATAGTTACGCACATGATTATGATAATGCGCAGGTGCGCTGTCATGTTGGAAGTACATATGCATCCGAGTTTGCAGGTTGACATCCTCCAAAAGCAAAGGCAAATGCTCCATCAAAAAATTAAGTATTCTGTACCTGTTAACCTGTTGTCGAAAAAGTAAGGCCCGATAACTTGTCTGCCAATAACTCCTCTCTAAACATTCAAGCTCCATTTATTTTGGAAATCTATTTGCCTAACCCAATAAGGGTTTTCAGTCGCATAATAGTGCATGTTATGCCTGTTGACAACACCTATGCTATTAAAAGTTGCCTCATCGCTAAAAAGAACCTTATACAGGAAAGTCGTGTCTTCACTCACTTTATTTAGCATTATTCTACTAAACTCCATTCGAGCTGCGAAATCCTGAGGACGAAGGCGTTGATGCAAGCATAGGTGATATGGATGGTACCTATGCTTGTGAATCATCCTTTGGACAGAAGTTCTGCATATATCAGTTTCTGCTCCAATTTGAAGGGCACTTAAATGTGGATTTTCCTGCACCTTTAATAGAACCTCAACTGATTCGCCTCATTGGTGACACTTGGATTAATTATTCATTTTTTACTATATTCCACTGCTCCGCTTGATTCAAAACGTTCTCGTAGTGTAGAAAATGTTTCCGGCATTG